AGAGCGTAGGATGGCAGTCATTACTCTATCTTAGCTTCAGCGATTTGAAAAAGATTTTCGACAGTGATGATCGCGAAGTAATTGGTAAACTGCTTCAACAATATGAGGATAAATATTGGCCACTGCGGTAGGGTATAGTTCCATTATGGATGAAAATTTTATTTTGATAAAGTCACAGAGAGTTACACAGTAATATTTACTGACGACGTTATGAGCATAATCTATTTCTCATCATCATATCAAGGTACTCGCACAACTTTCCAGCTTCAACAATACAGTGTGCAGCTCAACATATCTCTATCAACCTCACTCAGAAACTATGTGATGTTGCCACGTGTCAAGTGATTTGTGACAGAAAACTCAGTTTAGCATTTGGAATGAAGAGAGAAATTAAGACAAGGCTGCCTAAAATCAAGAGTGATATTCGTGACTGTGGTAGACTGAATCATGAGACCAACCGTGGGGAGTAAAAAGACTATAATGCTTAAGATTTACAAGATAATCCTAGATGATTTAGGCATCACCGATGATATATTATCAATGTCATCCCAAACTTGAATACCTACAGGTGAAAAGCAACAATTTGGTATGAGAAATCAGCAGTGAAGTTAGGGTGTCGAGTGAATATAGAGAAGACAGGTGGTCGGAATGCTTAACAGTAGTCACTAATCACTGGCAACGGGAAAAATTTAAGGGAAGTCGCCACTCTCACTTATCTATCCAGCATCGTTTCAGTAACAGGTAACATAGTTGATAATGTTATATAAAGAATAGGAAAAGCAAGGCAGACATTCGTAACTCCGAAAGTAGTGTGAAAATCTATTACACAAAGAACAAGATTCGAATTTTCAACACTTATGTCAATTCTTTTTAATTATTCTCAAATTTGGCGTGTCACCAAGAGCATTCACATCTGGTTGCAGACTATTGTCAGCAGCTATCTTCGCTCCGTATTAGGAATTAGATGGTCAAAAAGGATTAGAGAGAAGAAACTAAGAACCTGTTGCTCAGCTTCAGTGTAGAAGAAAACGAAGATGAATTAGGTGCACACTGAGAGGAGCGTTGAGGGATTTCGCTCACCAGGACCTTTGGTGGAATTCGAATGAGAAACAATCAATTGTGTATTCTAGGGTGACATTGAGAAGATCGTGTCAGGTGGAGATGGTAGCTTATAGGTAATCATAGAGACCTCTATAGGGAAATACAGAAAATAGGATAAAATGGAGATGTGCTGTTTACGCTTGATTTTCCATTTGAAATAATATTAGAATAATTATTAATGAACTAGTGATTCACTGTACATGTGAAGCATGGCGGAATGTTGGAGGCACCTTTTATACATAACAAGACTTTTCAGTCACTGTATTTCTATTTCCTATTGAAACTTGTTTCAGGCGATTACAATCAGTTTCCTCATATGGACCAGCTATCAGAATGTCGTCCAGATATGCACATGCGAAATCTAGTTCACGGGAGACATTATAGGTGGAATTCTGAAGTGTCTGCATGGAGTAGCATAGACCAAAGGACACATGGATGAACGTGAAGTGACCGAAAGTTATAATAACGCCAGTTTTCGGGATTGCATCAATTTGCAGTGGGATCTGATAACGACACGTGTCAGATGAAGATTACTGAACACAGACGCACCTTTCTAAGAAGCACCCAAGTTGCATATTTTCGGAACTGGATAACGATCTGGGAACATTTCGTCATTGAGTCTACGTCAATTATTATATGACTTTTAGTCCATGTCTTTGGTTTTAGTCAATGCATTTTGGGGGTGAATACGTAGGTTGTTGAGTCGTTCGATTATGGCCATCTCGAGCATACTCTAGAAACCAGTGCTGATTGCTTAATATTTCCCCAGAGATGGCCTGCGTCGTTTATTGGATACAGACAGTTATCTCAATATGACGCCACGATTTGGTTTGGAAATCTCTGGCAGGGCAGAAGGTCAGAGGTATAAAGACGTGAATTGTTCGGGTTGGGATTCTATAGGCTGATAGACGGTATCCATGTGACATTACCAAAGACGAAGAATCGTATGGCATAATTTGTCAACTTACGCTTGCTAGCATCACCAAGCAACTAATAGCGCTGCACCAATAATTCTGGCGGTCATGTCGTGTACTACAGAAACATTGCTGAAATAATGACTAAGTCCGATATTGAGGAATCTTCGTCTGTTTGCGGTAATGGGGCAACCGATGGTAGCAGAAGTTTGTCGGTATGTCGGTCGCATACGTTGTTCTGCCGCAGATGGGATTAATGTAGCTTCTTCCCTGGTGTCAACCAGGAAGCGTTTACTAGAGTGGTGATCTATAATACAGAAGAGACTTGAACGAAGTGACTCGTCCGCAGTCATCACGCGCCAGCTTACAAATTTCAAGACTGCAAGGATGAGTGTACCTTTGGGCACTGGCACCATAAGGTCTGCGGTACCAGAGAAATTAGGATTATAAACTTTGTGGCTTTCATAACCTATTCCTAGACAATGCAAACGAACTACCTCGAAAGCTAGGTGCGTGATTATGGAATGGAGTTTCGGCTCTCATCCCCTTCGTAATACTACACAACTAATAAAATTTGTTGGTGTGAGTTATTGCCTCCAAACTTGGTGACTCATTGGTTGAATGAGAGGTATTTCTGTAATGGTAATAAACAGTAGATAATACTACCGTAATACCCGTGTTGTACGTAGTAGCTTCTACATCTCCGTCGACTGTCTTGCCAACTCCTTTAAAAGTAAGCTGCGAAAGAGCGGTAGGATTCTTCGCACAGTCCGAGGCAGCATTCGCAACCAGAATTGTGGAAGATAATTGTAGCAAGTCTTGGAATTGGTGAATATGTGTCTTTTCCAAAGAAGCGTGTAGGTGGACATAAGATCGGCCCCTCGACTACATCTGTCTTAGTACAATAAGTGGATTATCTGTTAGAATGCGAAAACATCAACCGGAAAATGACAAAATAGGCTTCAAAAGTTAATTTTTCTCACAATTAGCAGTTTTACACACGCCAATGTATGGGTAAATCCTAAATATCAAAGGCACACACTTAACTTTTAATAGTGTATGGCTCTGTCTAGATAGTGTTTCCTTGGGATATTTAGAAGAAAGTAACTGAATAAGGATAAAGTGATGGTGATAAACAGAACTAAACTACTAACATGTATGAAACATAACGCATTCTTAGTGTAATTTAGGTATTCACACACATTAATTTTCCGGTATACGGAAATATTAACAAGAGTTTAAAGACTGAGGTGTAAATTCATCAGTGAACTCTCAAATCTATAATATAAAGTGGGGATTGATATACTAGATTCATTCCCACTATCCTATCGGTGGATAAGAAGGGACATGATGCAGACATTCAGTATTTTACCTAGGATTCCAATGTTAAATTTTATACTTATTCCATCCGGCTGAAATTATCCCGCATGCTCAAGGTCATTGATGGAGTGAGACGCCCAAAGGTCATTTCCGTCCATGTGGTCTTCACTGAATGACACTATGTCGAAAGCTGCAGCTTAAACAAGAAGTAAACTATTTGTGTTGAAGACACTACCATCCAGCTACCTTATCTTCTTCATTATAGCGATGTTTTTACTCATTCAGCATGAAACACTAATCATTACAACCAATATACTTAGAGTGTGCCGCAGTCAGACCACATAACGCGGACACCAACATAACTTGCCAGGAAATGAGAATTCCTATCAATCCAGAAAACATAAAACTCAACGGTATTGAAAATTATTAACAAATAAAATTTACCCAGCGAAATTTCAACCAACATGCCGGATAAGTCCAGCCATTCCATCCTTCCAAGGACTAGGTGCATATCACTTTCAAGTTCAAAATCACAGATTATTCAACCTGGTCTTTTCTTCATTAAGGCGTGGAACCCTCTAGTGAAGCACGACGTTTCAGCACTATTTATTGCTTTATTCAGAGCAATAAATACGAAGGATTAAAATGTACATAAAGCCTATTATTTTTACTAGTCTGAAAAGTGACAGATAGTTTCTGAAATTATTTTTCATAAATCTATAGAATGAAATAGCAGTAATATTAGATATGAGTGGAAATTCTATGGCATATGCTGACAAGATTTATCAGTAGTATATAAAGAGGTTTTCATTGGTACAAAAATATCAAATAGCGGAGAGATAGATTTGACGTCAAGGAGAGCAAATTAACCAGTGTTGTGGTGAAACATGGGAGACGCGAAAGAAGCACACACTACGAAAGGCAGAAGTAGCACAACGCGGAATACCTGTGCAAATGACGGTTTTCATATAAGGTGTACATAATTTCGCTATACACAGATACGAAATCTCAAGTAAAGCTTCCGTTAGCAAGTTTCTTGTCTTTTGCCGTTACTATTACACCTAGTATTTATGGACATTTTTAATTTTATTCTTGTTACGCAACGCCCCATTACCTGTCTTCATGCATGCTTAAAATTATCCACTCGTGTTAATTTCATTCTTTAGGCCATTTCTATCATATTTGGTGATTCGATGACTAAAATCTCTCACCACAGCACAGTATAAAAGCGGTTAACAATAATCAGCTCTATTCAGAAATTATGTACAGAAGTCATCTCACAGAAATAATACTAAAATAGTGTGGTTTTAATCTTCCTAAGCTCTTTTTACACCCTACGTTAAAACTTTATTCACGTTAACCAGGATTTAGGACAATTTGCCCCCAACGGTTTCATGCAATAACCTCTTTTCATTATTCCACAGACACCGAAAAGCTGATCAATTAACCTCTGAAGTTACAGAATAAAGAAGTCGGTTAATTCAACTAGCAGTTATTTTCTTTAAAAACATACTTATCTTGTATCAAAAACATAGACAAAATACAATAAACGTTGAGGTAAAATAAAAATTAAAAAACAGCAAATGAACATTTGAAAATAAAATAAGACCAAAGTAACCAGTTAGTCTTAAACAATGTGGAAAGAATGAGAAAAATATTAAAAATTCAAGAAGTTATCACAGCCCATAAGCATAGAACAGGAACTAGAGTTACATAAAAAATAGCAGAATAAAGCATTTTTGGCGTGAAAACTGTCCAGATGAATAAGTGTGATTGTAGAAAGAAACAATATGTGCCACACAGTGTGATAGGCAAAATAATGAAGCCTAAAACAAGACAGTTGAATTTTTCACCGAAATGTTTATGTCCAGGTAGGACAAATCGACAGAAATAGGCTAACTGCCAGATTAATGGTCCTGAATAAGTGTAAAAGGCTAGTAGTAGGCCAGCTATCAATGGTTGATGATGCCGAAGACCAACATATGCAGCAGACAAATCGACAGTTGACAAACTTAAGGAATTCCCCTGAGATAACAGAACATTAATACAATAGATTTATTTAAGAAAAGTAGCATAAATGATAAACAGAAGAAAAATACGACTAGTGAATAAAATACAAACATGTCCACTAAGCAGAGTTTAAGTAACGTTGTAAAAATGTTTTTCAACATGACTGCTACCTGTTTTTGCCTGTTGCATGGAACAATTATCACCACTACAGGTTTAAACGTAACTGACTGGTGAAAAGGCTTATCCAATAGTTGAAATATGAAAATCTAAACGAATACAACTATAAACGGTAATCAGGCAGGAACCAGCCAGAATCTGTGTAACTAAAACAATGCTTACAGCTTGAGTGTAACAGTAATCAATGAATACAAAGGATGACAAGTACTCTAGGCAGATATATGGATGTAACCTTGAATATGTTTAATGACCAGACAGTGAAATTTATTCAGTTGAGCAACTGATAAGATACAGTGATCATTCTTCTCACTGTCACCATGACCACTTGCAATTCTTCAATGTTTTTTTTTCAATTATGCAGTCATTAAGTGACAAATTCTAGTTGTCACATCAGGTTATTCTAATAGTATCTAAACATTTAAAATAAAAACTCAACTATATTCAGCGAATCTACAGTTTACATGATGTCGAAGTACTATACAGTCTGTGTGTTGAACTTACGATGTGGTGTATTTCAGTCTCAACAAATGAGAAAAACAAGTTCGCCTAAAACACAAAAACCACTTTAATCATTGAAATGAAATCACTCAGCCAACCAGTAATATCCAATGGTGGTTTCCTCCTAGTTTGAAACCCTCTCCAACACTGCACACCCCTACAAATTTCATTGGGATCGCGACGATTAAATTCAAGTTAACCAAAGGACATATAGTCAGTACAATAAGTCAATGAAAATGCTAACAGTATTTGATGAGCAGTTGTAACAAGGTAAAACATATCAGTTCACCTGTTGCTGTGGAACCAGGTACATCGGTCGTTCAACGCACATCCTGTCAGAAAGGGTCAAAGAACACTATCCAGTGTGGCTGCAGAAAGGAAGTAGTGGCCGTATCAGGAGTGCAATAATCTAACATCTCGTCAACACTGGTCATTCCATCTCAACAAACGCCCACTCCTTCAAAGTAATCTACAAAGTGAAGAACAACCTTCCAAAGACAATATGTTTCCGTCTTCTTTGCATCGCAGAAGCCCTAGCCATTTAGTTGGAAGAACCAGAACTATGCATACAAAAGAAAATTATTCAACCACTTCTACTCTCATGGTAACAACTCCGTTGATTTGACTTAACTTTTGTTTGTATGCTTATTTTTCCAACTACTTAAAACCCTTGCGTAATTCCGTATGTTATTTTGTTTCCATGTACACCCTGAGCACAACTCTTTCATCAAACTATTCACGTTATTACGTAACTCTTTTTTAACAATCATTTGTGACAACTCATCACTTTTGTTACTATCCTCTTATATCAACATCCAATTCATCTGAACTTACTAATTGTATTTTCGTTTGACAAATTTAATGTACACACACATACAAAACAACCATACATATTTGCGATTGTACAGCTATGAAAATGAATTCGCCGAAAAGAGACTCTTCGCTGAACTACTGGTCTTCGTCTATTAATGTTCGAATGGGAATTTTTCATGAAAGAAATAAAATAAATTTTTAGCCTAATCATTTCAGTGTCTTACTACTACTGATAAAAATACGGCCTCCTCCCAGCACAACTATAATTCACTACATCGGTCATTAATCCTACATACAGTTGACGTTTAGCTTAAGAGTAGATAAGCACCAAAACGAAGAAATAAATTACTCACTCACCTGTTGAAAGAAGCTAACCCAACCTTGTGTCCAATAGATCAGCCATGAACACAATGGTAAAACATAACGAAATGTTTTATGCGATGAATGCATACCGGAATAATGAAATATTAATTGTATCATTTCAGATAGTAGGGCTTCTTTTATCCATATACCAAGCCAAAGAATTGTAACCACAGGTTTCCCCAATAAACATATAAGCATAATTAATGTTGACAATGGATGTATAATTGAATCCCAAAATGTTTTTGAAGCATCTGATGTTGTTTGACCAAATAATCTACCTGCACTTTTATCCACACGAATATTTCTTGATTTATATAGACAAAATGCATCTATAGCGCATAACAGATAACAAAATCTAGCTGAGTGTACGGCGTCTTCACTGAAAGTCAGAATATAAACAAGCAAAGTGACATACTTATGGTGAAATAAAAAGCGATGAAAACATTGCACTCATCATCATTCACACAACAGACACCTGACAAATCAGGAAAAACTTAAGCATATATAATCTTATTTAAGAGAAAAAGATATGAATGTAGAACAGGAAGAAAAGTCAAGCAGTGCTGCAGAAATACTCCTGTTTTGATATGCTAAATTGTAGTATTAGTAAAACTACTTGCGGATGAAATTGTTTACAAAGAAACAAAGTCCAAGATATGATTTACTTAGCGTGTGTAAGTGCCTATATGACAAACGCACCCTCGACTCCTTGGCTACACGTTGGTGAACAGGATGAATAATGCTAATATTAAAGTTGGTTGAGAGAAGGAAACAGATGAACAGTTACAGAACTGTTGTTAATGAGCAGGAGCCTATTCCTAACCACATGAACTGTACGAAATTATTATCTAACTTGTGAATCAGAAAGAATTATGATCTGGAGTGTGACCATTAACCAACTTCTGCAGACAGGGCAGATAAATAGCCACAGTGGGATATTATTCAACTTTGTTTTTCATTGCAAAAGGGGAATCGCAACCAACTAAACCATGGATACTACAAAAATTCGTAACACTCACCTAGTCGTTGTGAGATAAACTCAGAAAACAACAATGCCACCCCCCCTATTGTCTTAATCATCTAAGATGAAGAGGACATTTTCTTTAAATACAACCACCTCTGCTGTAGAGCTAATTAAATAAATCTCAGTGAAGCTAGCATATCAAATAACACAGTCGGCCAATGTGTTGGTAACGACAAACAATAATTTTTTTTACTTACGAAACCACTGATATGTTCGATAAAACAGTGATGACTCATTTTGTACGAATAATTATAGTATTTAGCTGTTGAAGACACAAGTGTGGTTCATTATCAGTGTATCAGTGTGAGCGGAACAGCACACTTAATACTGTGCATTTTCACTATAATCAGTGTAATTATATGCAACCCAATTGCAGACTATTGTTCACGTCATACTGAAAAAATTATGTATCAAAACTGATAAGTAAAGATTAATTAGACAAATTTTCGAGTCAAGTATTCAAATAAAGGACTTCAGATGAACATAGAGAAGATAGAAATGATGAAGGTACCAATCACCATTAACATGGCATCGTTTCAACTACACGCAACACAAATGAGAATGTCAAAGGTAGGATAGGAAAAGCAAGACTGATATTTATTAATCTAAAATCAATACAGAAGCCTACTGTACTCAGTATAAGAAGCAAGAGTCAAATTTTCAAAATTAATATCAAGCTAGTGATTCTATATGGTTGAGAGACTCAATGTAAGCATGCCCAACAGATTGTTGCGGACTTTCATAAACACTCGCCCACACTAGCTCGATAGCAAAGATTATATGGCCGACCAGAAAGGATAAGCATCAAAAAGAATTTAGCAGACAATGAGCCAGACAAAAACCTATTACCTAACAAGGAAATGCGAACACCCAAATGCTCTACTCGCTGACGGAGTGGGTGTCCCAGGGTGACGTGGCGAGGCTCATGAGAAGGTGAAATGAAAACCAGTTAAAATATAAAGCATAGAACTGAACAACAACAGAAACGTGCTGCTGTAGTCCTATATTCCATCTGGAACTCAAAAGAATAATAACAATAATTCAATTATAGCTTACTTTTCATTTTCAGCTACAGCTAATTTATATGACAGTTGATTACAAACTAGAAAAAAGCTAACTGGTATCGGTATGTAATACTTGCATTTATTCCAAATAGAGCAAGTTGGACGTAAACGAAATAGTGCTTTGCAACGAAGTACTAGGAATGTGATCCATGCTATTAATAGCCACAACCACAACCAACCGATATTTTCAGGCCTAAAATTAAAAAACAACACAACTATGTATTTACACAACTTCATTCAGTAAAATCTAATACAATGTAGGATGGTGATAGAACAGATAAATAGAAAACACTTATTGGTGGGGTTAATACACTATCTAATCTAAAGATAAATTAAAGACAATAATCAATAACAAGCATCTGGAGTGTTTACTGCTCTGATCTCCATCAAAGTTTGCATTTCAGTTATAGTACTTAATGTCATCTGTTTCTAATAATCGACGGGCATTAATTAAAATATCTTCTTCTATTGGAAGATTTTACAAAAATTCATGCAGCTATAATTGTACAACACGAATTGAAACAGTGAAAGGTATATTACAAACTTTCCTTTGCACAAAGCCCGTAATGAAGTTATTTTGTAGCATTCCATATCTCAAAATTAACCTTCAGAATAATCACAAGTTGACTGGAGGATAGTGACTAGGAGTGGAATCCAGGATGCACATTTCGTCCTATTTGGGACTCGTCATCTGGATGTGCCTGCATTCCGTAGTTAGTGATGATGTTCCCACCGAGGCTCGAACCCAGTGCCCATAGTTTCAAATGCCAGAGCGTTATCCACTAGACCACTTGGGCCACGAGAGCCACCTCTTGTGCAACGGGTCATTTTAATTATTTAATTCAATTTTAGATTTTCCCGTCGATCGAAGTGCTCGGTCTCAGGTTGACATGTCGGCTCTTGTGCAGATGCTTCGACGATGTCTGGGCATGTAATTAGAAGTTAATTGGTGGATGGTGACTAGCAGTGGAATCCAGGATGCGCATTTCGTGCTATTTGGGACTCGTCGGCTGGATGTGCCTGCAATAAGAACGTTATCACTAGACACTGGCACGAACCACTTTGTGCAAGGTCATATTATTAATTATTTCATTCAATTTTACATTTTCCCGTCGATTGATTGGACCGAACGAAGTGCTCGGTCTCAGGTTGACATGCGTGGCATGTAATTAGAATTTAATTGGTGAATGGTGACTAGCAGTGGAATCCAGGATGGCGTTTCGTCCTATTCGGGACTCATCACTGGATGTACCTATTCTATTTAAAATTAAACGAAGGATGTATAATTATCCGCATACAAACCAATGCATCATCAAAATTTGTAGCACACCTACATCAGCACTTTGTCGTATAGACAGGTTTATGAGTAAAGGTGTCCAAAAAGCTTGTTGAGTCTAATGAATTCTAGGTCACTGGAAATAAAAGTAGCGACAATTGAATTATATGTAATCTATTTCATGCTGGATACTTATGAGGTTCAACTTTGTTATTGCCAAGCATAAGTGTTACTCAGTAACACACGATAGAAGTGGGATGACCAATGTTTAAAAACGTCTCATCCAGAAACACTGGAATAACTTATATGAAGACAGGAATCCATCCAGTTTATGTATAAGCCATAAACTAAACACTTAAATCTACTTAAAAAACAAAAGGTTTTAGAATAAACAGACAACTGTTTACTTATATCTCAATAGGATGGGAGCAGCTACGGTACTATTAGAACAGAAACAGTAAACTTGGAATAGTTTGCAATCCGTTCATTTTTAAAAAGTGCCTATTCTTCAATTCTCTCAGTAAATACAGTATAGAACAAACTGAGATTCAGCTGATTAGTCAATCACGTTGCAGCTTTCTTAAAACAAATTTTCTCTTTGTTTCGTGATTGCCATCTTAAGTTATCAGTTTCATTGCCTCGAATGTCTCACTTCTTCTTATTAATTTAAGCTAACGCCTTCAACGACTCACATTGACCAGGAGTGTAATCAGCTTATAATCTCAAGTGAAAAACATATTGGCGGAATGATACGTAATAAGAGGGCATCAGTCGATAAGATTGTGAAGCTTCCACTACTAAGGTGGCTAGAATATGTATTACGCAAGTTGAGCTACCACCTTCCTCGTCTACCAATCTCAGCTGAAGTAGGATTGATTTTATAGAGTACAGAGACCAAAACCAGGAAGAAGCTGACTGTTGACGTGAGAGACAAAAGAGTTTTCAGAAACCTTAAAATATTCCACAATGTCTCAGATGTATTCATGTCTTGTTACTATACTGGTTCTGAGATACTCAATAATCTCAATTTAGTCATTCACCCTACAATGTGTACATTTTACGCGTGATTTTTTGAAGTATGAGAATTTAAACTTCAAAATATAAAGAACCATGTTAATTTCTCCACAACTGGTTCAGTGGAACGTCCTGATAACTTGCAATACAGTTATTCATCACAGGAGTGGTGATATCATTGTTCACACTCCACGGAATTGACCTTAAACCTGGTAGACGTTTTTGGTCACTTACAATGACGAATAGACTTGGTTTATATGTTGGTGCGTCTAAAGATTGCTGACCGACCTCTCAAAGTCCTTATGCATTCTTCGTATTCCTGTTTTATAAAGCCTGGCCAATTAATTTATCTTATTGTTGTCCAACAAAATGTACTTTTACGGATAAAGTTGCAGACGACGCGCATTCGAATGAGAGTAATTCTATAATGTCCGACTCTTTCAAATACATTTTTTTAAATGAATGGAAAAAACAAGTCATTTTAACAGTTCATCGTGAAGTCGTGGTATGGTACCCGTGTGTTTTAATGAACCCAACAATGAAAATATGTTTAAAAGAAAGCAAGAATTTAAACCATATTTGGCAATTTTTTTATCGATATAATGGATTGTTCTGTTTTGTATTGTTTTTCTTGATGTCAAGTTAAGTTGGCGAGCAATCTTAACACAATTGCTTTGATGTATCACTTTCGCAAATTTTATATATATTAACTTAGGCAACTAACTTGTATGAAAATAAATAACTACTGAGCAAAAGAAAATATTAAAAGATGTGATTCACTTTTTACTATTGAACAGCATTTCTAAACAAACTCTTAATTGAACTAGGCACTTACTTAAACACCATACTACTACAAAAAGTGTAGGAGTGTTAACTTATAAGATTGACTGATCGAAATCTCTGCTATATTTACTTTAGTTGTTTTCTATTCAACTGCTGCTTTCTCTGTTTTACACAGAGAAAATAACCTACGTGTACATTACAAAGATACACTAAGCAATTCTATAATTTCAATTCTTGCCACCAAGATGTACAGGTAAAATTACATTGGAATATTAGACTATCAAAATATTGTTAATGTGGTGAACAGTAAGGAAGAATTGTTTTCTCGTTTACTTCAGTGTTATTTATTAGTTCACGTTTTAACAAGTTCTCAAAAGCCTTTTTGCTATTAAAAATACACCACATAGTCAACAAAATAAGAAAATCATTTCTCGATTGCAATCATATATATATATATATATACTTCAAAAATCACGCGTAAAATGTACACATTGTAGGGTGAATGACTAAATTGAGATTATTGAGTATCTCAGAACCTGTATGGTAACAAGACATGAATACATCTGAGACATTGTGGAATATTTTAAGGTTTCTGAAAACTCTTTTGTCTCTCACGTCAACAGTCAGCTTCTTCCTGGTTTTGGTCTCTGTACTCTATAAAATCAATCCTACTTCAGCTGACATTGGTAGACGAGGAAGGTGGTAGCTCAACTTGCGTAATACATATTCTAGCCACCTTAGTAGTGGAAGCTTCACAATCTTATCGACTGGTGCTCTCTTATTACGTATCATTCCGCCAATATGTTTTTCACTTGAGATTATAAGCTGATTACACTTCTGGTCAGTGTGAGCCGTTGAAGGTGTTAGCTTAAATTAATAAGAAGAAGTGAGACATTCGAGGCAATGAAACTTATAACTTAAGATGGCAATAGAGAGAGAGAGAACAGAAAGACAGATAGTTATGGATTATGATTAAAAGAAACTAAGCATAGGTGGTTCTGTGGTAGAATACTCTCCAACCACGCACACGGTCCCGCGTTCGATCTTCGGCTGACGCGCTGTCTAAACTCACTTAGCAGGTAATGAGCACGGTAGACAGGAACAACGGCTGACACACGAGGCTAGCAACCTCAGCCCGTAAAAAATAAACACTACTGCTATTTAAGAATTCGAAGCTCAAGCTTCACTTGTAAGGTGAAGGATTAAGATGAATTAATAAAAAGTGAAATTAAGCTGAACGCTATCAGCAGTTCGACAGAGCGCCTATATCTGCATACAGATTTTGTCAATGAGAACAGAATGACAATTTCGTTTCATCGAGATAACAAACGATAGACAGAACAAAGGAAGGTTTATGTAGATATGATAGCGAATAATTTAGGCAGAATTTGTAAGTGTTTGAGTAGTTTTTTTTCTGTTCATGCAACCTAGGATTTTGTTGGCAGTTCATTTTTCGACTTCAGTGTCCAGTTGTTATCTTAAGTGTTAATCTAGGACAAAGTGAATACATTTCCCATCTTCCTTAATTATAATATGGAAATCAGTTGGACAATCAGTCAATAATCCTTAATCTTTTAGCATGAAATTTTTCACAAAAGTGGTGTGGTATGTACTACTTATAAGTAGTTAAGAGTAGTGTATTAAGTGAAAAGTTCAGAAACTAGTGATAATTTGTGTATCAGCGGAAAAACCCATGAAGAACACTATCATAAACAGACATTCAAAAGATTGTCATTTGCAAAGTGTGACACTAGTGTAGCGTTCATAATTTCACTAATATCCATTTGTTCTGACCAAAGTTATTGCTACCCGTATCGAAATTGTTCGGTTATACTAATATGGTTGCTTTTGCTGACGATGGAGGTGCCTTAGCCCGAGTTCTTTGAAGAGGTAGATATGGAGAAACCTACTCCACATGCTACTTATATCTATTTATGAGTAACTCATCAAACTAGTAGTGGTATTATTATTATTATTAAAAGATATATAAATGACTTACTTATATAACCAATCAGATATATCTGGTAAGTGTATCCATTTATTACCAGTTCGATGAAGTTGACGCAGCAGAAAACGATCTAACAGAAGTATCTTCAAGATTAATTTTATTATAATCCATTTAATATTTGAAGTGACATCGCCGAGAAGAACTAACAAACCGATTAACAGCATAAGACTTGAACCAAAATAATACCATAATTGATGCTCTTCTTCAGCATAACTACTTGATGCTAAACTAATTGAATGCAACAGTAAACAGACTGTCCCGAAACTGCAAATAATTTGTACTAAACGCGGATCAAATGAATACCTGATATCAGCTGTATCAGAATAATAATATTGGATTAGGGATTTTTGATTCTGAAAAGTAACAATAACAATAATCATGCCAAAGAGGAAACGATATAAAGGTAGAATGTAATATTTGTATGATATTGGATGCTTATGGACAAGAATATTAAGTGATTCGTTTAGTTCTCGTATCAGCTGTTGTCAGTAGACCGGCAGATCTACACAATTAACCTGAACGACTGAATGTGTGAAAAAATTTAAACAGTATAACGAATTCACTACATTTCATCGACCAAATTTAGTCAATAGTAAATCCTATTACTTAAAGTAACCATTCTTTTGAAATCTGAACTTTGTGTCATTCATATTTTGAAAGCAAAAAGAAAGTTTAACTGTCAGTCAGCGTATATGCACTAGCCTACTTTAGGACTGAGATGCAATCGATGGAAACTAAGGACTTGTAGTAGAATCATGCAGTGAAAGCTCTTCACACTAAGGAGTGTATGCCAGTCAATGAAGCTGTTAAAAATCAACGGTAGGTGTAGTGGGAACATGCGCAATGCATGCCAACCGATGTCTGTTGAAGCAGATTAAGATTGGAAAAAAGTTGGGCATGATCAGATCTAAACACGAAAGCAGTTTACTAAGTTTCCCAGTATTAGTTTACGCCAAATTTTTAAAAAAAAATGCCTGGCTGGGATTCTTGGGAGAATTTCAGAGAGACTTTTGGCAATCCTTAACAATGATCCAGATTTATTCATCGTCTATGATCTTCAACAATTTCATGGCCTGAATTATTTTAAAATTAATAAAAACGAAATTCACCTCTTCAACTTAGTCATAAAAATTACTTAAACATAAGTTGAGGGGACCATTGATTGATATCATGCGCCAGGCGAATACCTTCAGTGAAACTAGAGTGGGAAACGAGAAGTTGGGCATCAGCCGTTGACATGAAAAAGATCAGGTGAGGAGGAGATGAGTATTTGTGGGCAATTGTGTAGCCAGTTAAAAGTGATTGCAGTGAATAGGATGGAATGAGATGTACTACTGAAGGCCAATGTTTCACTCGGAACCCAAGGGAATAATGATAAACGTATAGACCTATATTTTTCATCCTCAATGTTTTGAAAAGTGAAACTTATTTTTTCAATCACTTCAAAGAGTCAGGATTTAATTAAAATAGCACTCCATTCAGATCAGCAACTACACAGTATTTATACATGTAATACATAAAAACAGATAAGACATGTTGCTTAGCTATTCAAGTAAAGTAGAGCAAATATGTTAAAATTCTAGTTCACTCATAGTCATGTGCTTGAATAGCTTAACAGCAGGCTTTATATCATCAACGCATAAAAAGTATGTTACAGGCTAATGCAGAATATTATCTGTACAGTGATAATTGTATGCTGACAAAGCAGTAATCGAATTAGTCAAAATTCATTTGCTCACAGTAGGCTCATTTTCTAAACACAAGAGTAATGAATTGCCACCTTGGAAATACTGACTCATTGATTTAATCACTCTACATTCAGGTAATGGGTGTCGATTTCGAGCCCCACTCCGTATACTCTGGTCTAAACGACCGGTGAGTATCATTGGCTCTAACAAATACGTGTTGCCCTTTAGCTAGAGACATCCTAAATCTGTCCGATGCATTTAAATTCTAACTAACCCATAAAGTGCTGTTAAAAAGTGTTTATGTCCAGTCTAGAAAATGGTCAGTTGAAGCCTACAATCCAAAGCTTTCAAATGTATAAAAGGTATGTAGATGATACCTTTATTATTTGTAATAGTGATTGTAACTTGAATAATATATTAAATGTATTTAATGGTTGCCATCCTGCGATAAAATTCACACTCGAAATGGAGAACGAGTCTAGTATTCATTTCCTCGATGTGAACTTATCAAGGAGGACAGATGGAACTCTGAAGAGATCGATTTATCGAAAGCTGTCATGGAATATATATATATATATATATGTACAATTGTACAGCTTGGTGATAAATTCGTTGAAAAGTCTCTTCGCTGAAACACTTGTTTTGATTTTCTATGTGCACCAGGTGGCCTCT